ATTTCTACATAAAACATAAAAAATGTACCAAATCAAATAAAAAAGCTGAAAATTTGGGTCTAAATAAGTTTTAATWTTGCAGTGGAAATGATATATAAACTCTGAGCACACACAGAGGCTTTGGGTGAAATAAAAAAAATCTTTGTGTGTTTTTTGAATGCCTTTGCCTTTTTGTCGAAGACTTATTGTGATGAGTTTTTACTGAAGACTTTCTGAATCTGTCCTTCAGATCGACGCTGGAAGAGCCTTCCCACAACAGTCACCCTCTTTACGGCCACGGTGTCTGCAAGTGGCCTGGGTGTGAAGCGGTCTTTGATGATTTCCAGTCATTCCTCAAGTAAGTAAAAGTCAAAGCCAGAGGTTCCTTTCTGTCACACTTTGTTTGTCCTCTTKTTGGGTCGATTACATGTTTTGCGACCCCTTGCAACGCAGACGCACTGCAGGTGCAGCTAGTTGTTATTCCCGAGTCTGGGTCAGCCCGCTGTTGAAAAGGGCACTGTGGTGGGGTCTCCTTCTGGGAACTGCATGGGCCTCTAATTCCTGTGATAAGTGCAGTTCCCATGGAGATGGGGGCCATTTTTCCCAAACAAACAACGGTAGGATGTTTATCTGTGGCAGCTCACACTYAGGGAGCCCTGCATGTTTGCCCTTGTCGCTGGACGGGGGGAAGGCTTTCTTCCACTTCAATTTTCTTTTCTTTTAGATGTCAATTTGTTTTGCACTTGTTTTTCCTCTCTTCATGTTTATGTGCTGCTTTTATTGCTGCAAGGAACGACAATAATGTTTTTGTCCATGTCTGTGTGTGTGTGTGTGTGTGTGTGTGTTTGTCTTTCCTAATAGTAAAATATCTAAAAAACACTCTAAGTTTTAATGGAACTCTCAAAAAGTAATCAGTGAATGTGCATCTACAAATTACAGCTTAACTGCTACAGCTAATCAAACTTAGAAAACAACTAAAAAATGCTATAGCTGTCAATTTTACAAATACTGAGCTAAGATTATGTATTAAGTACGTATTTACTTAATAGTATTTAATATTTAATAGTTACTTACTTAATGACTTTCTTACTTATTTAATTTACTTACTGACTTACTCATTTATTTACTTATTTACTTACTGTATTTATTCACGTATAATACTAGAAATTTAACCCTAAAAATATACATAAAGTGGGGGGTAGTATTATACATAGATTATTGTTGATTCGATATTTTTATGCCTTCTAAGCTCAAAAATGATAATTGTATTATACATGAATAAATACAGTACTTACTTACTGACTGATTACTTAATCATTTACTTAATTACTTAATGACTTATTTATTCACTTACTTACTTACTGACTGATTACTTGGTCATTTACTTAATTACTTACTTACTGATTTCTTATTTACTTACTTATTTTCTTACTTACTTACTGACTGATTACTTAATCGTTTACTTAATTACTTAATGATTTATTTATTCATTTACTTACTTACTGACTGATTACTTTATCATTTACTTAATTACTTATTTCTTAATTACTTACTTACTTATTTATTCACTTACTTACTTACTGACTGATTACTTAATCATTTACTTAATTACTGATTTCTTATTTACGTACTTACTTATTTTCTTACTTATTTACTTGCTTACTGACTGATTACTTAATCATTTACTTAATTACTGATTTCTTATTTACGTACTTACTTATTTTCTTACTTATTTACTTGCTTACTGACTGATTACTTAATCATTTACTTAATTACTGATTTCTTATTTACGTACTTACTTATTTTCTTACTTATTTACTTGCTTACTGACTGATTACTTAATCATTTACTTAATTACTGATTTCTTATTTACGTACTTACTTATTTTCTTACTTATTTACTTGCTTACTGACTGATTACTTAATCATTTACTTAATTACTGATTTCTTATTTACGTACTTACTTATTTTCTTACTTATTTACTTGCTTACTGACTGATTA